CTAGGTGGTCACAAAGCACAGAGCTGATCTCCCTGTGCCATGCGGCTGCTTCCCACTAGCTATCTATTTTACATTTGGTAGTGTAGATATGTCCATGCCACTCTCTCACTATGTCTCAGCTTACCCTTCCCCCTCCCCATATCCTCAAGTCCATTCTCTAGTAGGTCTGTGTATTTATTCCCATCTTACCCCTAGGTTCTTCATGACATTTTTTTTTTCTTAGATTCCATATATATGTGTTAGCATATGGTATTTGTCTTTCTCTTTCTGACTTACTTCACTCTGTATGACAGACTCTAGGTCCATCCACCTCACTACAAATAACTCAATTTCGTTTCTTCTTATGGCTGAGTAATAGTCCATTGTATATATGTGCCACATCTTCTTTATCCATTCATCCGTTGATGGGCACTTAGGTTGCTTCCATCTCCTGGCTATTGTAAATAGAGCTGCAATGAACATTTTGGTACATGACTCTTGGAATTATGGTTTTCTCAGGCTATATGCCCAGTAGTGGGATTGCTGGGTCGTATGGTAGCTCTATTTGTAGTTTTTTAAGGAACCTCCATACTGTTCTCCATAGTGGCTGAACCAATTCACATTCCCACCAGCAGTGCAAGAGTGTTCCCTTTTCTCCACACCCTCTCCAGCATTTATTGTTTCTAGATTTTTTGGTGATGGCCATTCTGACTGGTGTGAGATGATATCTCATTGTAGTTTTGATTTCCATTTCTCTAATGATTAATGATGTTGAGCATTCTTTCATGTGCTTGTTGGCAATCTGTATATCTTGGAAACACAAAAGACCCCGAATAGCCAAAGCAATCTTGAGAATGAAAAACGGAGCTGGAGGAATCAGGCTCCTGGACTTCAGACTATACTACAAAGCTACAGTAATCAAGACAGTATGGTACTGACACAAAAACAGAAATATAGATCAATGGAACAGGATAGAAAGCCCAGAGATAAACCCACACACATATGGTCACCTTATCTTTGATAAAGGAGGCAGGAATATACAGTGGAGAAAGGACAGCCTCTTCAATAAGTGGTGCTGGGAAAACTGGACAGGTACATGTAAAAGTATGAGATTAGAACACTCCCTAACACCATACACAAAAATAAGCTCAGAATGGATTAAAGACCTAAATGTAAGGCCAGACACTATCAAACTCTTAGAGGAAAACATAGGCAGAACACTCTGTGACATAAATCACAGCAAGATCCTTTTTGACCCACCTCTTAGAGAAATGGAAATAAAAACAAAAATAAACAAATGGGACCTAATGAAACTTCAAAGCTTTTGCACAGCAAAGGAAACCATAAACAAGACCAAAAGACAACCCTCAGAATGGGAGAAAATATTTGCAAATGAATCAACTGACAAAGGATTAATCTCCAAAATTTACAAACAGCTCAATAACAAAAAAACAAACAATCCAATCCAAAAATGGGCAGAAGACCTAAATAGACATTTCTCCAAAGAAGAGTTCTATGAGTTTTGACAAACACATGTGCTGTGTAATCACCACAATCAAGGTATAGAACATTCCCAGTCCTTCTCCAAATTCCCTAAGGCCCTTTGATGCTGACTCCCCTCCCCCATCCCCAGGCCCCGGCAATCACTGATCTGTTTTCGGGCTCTATAGTTTTGCCTTTTTCAGAAAGTTGTATTAATGAAACATTACACTATGTAGCCTTTTGAGTCTGCCTCCTTTTACTCAGCTAATGCATTTGAGATGCACCCATGATGTGCCTGTACTGGTGGCTTATTCTTTGTTATAGCTGAACAGTATTCAATTGTGTGCATGTACCACGGTTTGTTTACCCATTCACAGTTAAAGGACATTTGGGTTGTTTCCAGGTTTGGGTGATTATGAATCAAGGCACTATAAATATCTGCATACAGATTTTCATATGGACATAGGTTTTCATTTCCCTTGGGTCAACCCTATGGGCCATTTTCTCAGCTCCCCCAAACTCCTGTGGCTGCTTCACATCTGCCTGCATTATCCTCAGAGCCCCAGCTTGGTGAGTTGAGCACCGTTCTTACTTCAAGCAGAGATGTGTGAGTTCCAGAGCCAGGGAGCAGTTTTAGAATTTAGGTCTCTAGACAACCGACCTACCCTCTCCTCTGAGGAGACAGGGAAATAAATAAAATGCAGAGAAATAGATGAACGATAGATAGAGGGAGAAGAGGTGGGCAAAATAAGGCGAGTGAGCACAAGACAGATCTCCTACATCAGGTGCTGTAATTAAGGGCTTCTTCTTAATTAGCAGCCCAGCTGCCTATAAAATTGAATTGTGTTTCTCTGCTTATAAACAGGAATTGTGACTCACTAAGTTATGATTTGCTTAAATCCACTCTTGCCATTTGTGCGTAGGAGCTAATGTATTTATTGCAGCTGATATCTGGACTAAAGTGAAATGATTAGGAGGTCTTTGGTCATCAGAGATTTCTATTAATAACTGGATTTGAAGAACAATAGTAGCTAACACTGAGTACTTGCCATGTACCAGATACTGTTCTAAGGACTTTACATATTCAAACTCAATTAATCCTCATGACAACCTTAAGAGCTAGCGGTAATTTCCCCCACTTTACAAATTTTATATAATCTATGCACAGAGAGGTTGAGGACCCTTAGCAAGTGGCAGTGCTGGAATAAACACAGGCCATCTGGCTCTCCAGCCCAATTGCTTAACCATGAGGCTATCCTGCCCCTAAGCTCCTGCCACAAAGAGCCAGACACTTCGTGCGCCTTCTCTGTTCTTCATACCTACCCAGCAAGGTGACTCTTATTATCCCTATTTTACAGATGAGGGAATTGAGACTCAGAGAAATTAAGTAACTAGGTCAAGGTCCCCGGGCTTGTGGGTCATGGAATTGGGAATGGAATCCGAGTTAGTCCACGTGCTCTCCACCACTTCTCCCTGCCTCTAATAAAATCCTTTGGTTCGCCATGGACTTGACCTAAGTTGAGAGGCTGTCGAGGACATGCAATGAAGATGAATCTGTCTGAGGCTGTGTTAACCTGCTCTCCAGGCTCAGCGTGTGCTCTCTGCGTGTTCCTGCTGGGACTTGGCTCCATGCGGCCTGCTAGCCTCAGAGAGGAGCTCTCTGGGGACCAGGAGTCAAATCGTAAAAATATTCTTATTTTTTCCCAGGACTTTTCGCAAACAATAAACTCCCTTAGAAAGGTTGGGGGAAACACACACACACACAAGTAAATACTTATTGAGAATATATTTATAATAGATGTCTTTTTGCATTCGACTCAACTTTCCTTAATAGGCTGCTTATTCTGGGCATCATGCTTGCTCTAATTAGTTTTTTCATCATGTGATGGTTGGTCTCTGGAGGAAGACAGAGCTTGAAAGCATGAGCCGCAGCCATATTTAGCTGTAAAACCACCAAATAAGCTCATCATTGCCTTGGCTGTGCTTCTGTGAGGTGGAGGTGAGGGCTGGCCCAGTCCTTACAGATCTCACCTTGCATAAAAATGCCCTGACGTTGGGGATGCTTGGTTTGCATTATTTATTTCATCATCATTGGGCATCTTCTCCGTGCTCAGCTCTGCGTTCAGCACTTTTGGACTTTTGCTACCTTTAGTCCCCACAGCTGACTTTCTGCACACATCTGTCCCCCTACTAAATTATGGGTTCCTGAGTGTAGAGAACTATGTCATCAGGGATGAATTGGATCTGGTTTCCTATCATCCAGGAGCCCCTAGTTTAGTAAGAGAAACCGACATATATATAAATAATCTGAAAACACGGCACACTGTGATGGTGCGATAGTTTTATAACAATAATAATTAACATTTGAGGAAAGGGTATCATGGTCCTGGCCCTGTGCAAAATCCTGCAGTGTTTACATATATCTTTAATCCTTAGGGAAATCAGTGCTGTATCAGTTATCTGTTACCATAATAAGGCTGTGTAGCAACCATAAAACCTCAGTGGCATGCAACAACATTTATTTTTGCTCACAAGTCTGAGCATTGGCTGGCAGCTTCTGCTTCTGGGGCAGCGGGCTGTTGGCCGAGGCACCTTGGCTGAGTTCTCCCATGCATCTGGGTGGCTGGGGACTGGCTGGTCTGAGAAGGTCTCAGATGAGACACTTTGCTTCCATTTTACTCTGTCTTTCCTCCTCCAGCAGGCTAGCTCTTGCTTATTCTCATGGCAGAGGCAGGATTCCAAGAAGCACGTGGAAGCACACAAACCTCTAGAGGACGAATCTCGAAACTGGCACACAGTCAATTCTGCTTCATCTGCACTTGGCCAAAGCAAATTTACAAGGGTAACCTAGATTCAGGGAATGGGGTAGAGGCTCCACCTCTTAAAGAGAGGAGCTGCAGAGTTATTCTGTGAAGGGCATGGATGCCAGAGCAGTAAAGAATCGTAGTAGACATTTTTGTAATCTACCACAGGAACTAGTATCATCCCCATTTTACAGATGAAGAAACTGATGCATAAAGAGGTACCTAAGCTCACGCAGAAAGTACTGGCATCATAAAGAAAAGGGCTATGGAAGTACAGATGAAGGAAGAGATTGATGTTTTTATGACAGACTTGAAATCTTCTTTGGTGTGGGGATAAATCAGAACTGGGACACTGTAGCAGGTGCTGTTGATGCCTCACCCCAGTTCATACCAGGACCTTGAGCTCACAGCAGCTGTGGGGGACAGCCTGCCAGCTTCTCACCTCAAGGGACTCTCTGCTTCTCTGCTTGAGGCTTTTTCCAGGGTCATCAAAGTTTGCTCTGTCTCCTTGCAGGGGAGCCTGCAAGTGTCAGAGTTAATGCCCCCAGAGGCAACCCTCAGCCAGCAAGACATAGGAGCTGAGGAATCCATACCCCAGCTTCCCCATCCTGGGTGGAATAATTCTGTGGCACATTTTCGAAATTCCTCAGATGACCCCCTTGGGAACTGAGCCCCAGGTTACTCTCAGTAGTAAACTGCTCATTAACACACACCTTATCACTCTCCTCTTTCAAGGAAGACACCTGCACCCAAACCCTTGTCTTAGGGTCTGCTTTTGCAAGAAATCAAAGGAAGACACCTTGAAGGACGGAAAAGATGTTGACAGATAGAAGAAGCCTGGTGCAGTGTTCCAGGTAAAGGATCTTATTTGATAATGTCTTGAAAGTGTTCTACACTCGTCTATTTTGTTTGGTCAGAAGTGCTTTTCAGAACATGGGACTGGTTTTGAAACATGTAGCACACAAAGCAAACATGAGGGATACCGCTTAGCTTATTCTCATTAGGCACATTCATGTTTTTTTGCTTCTCAAAAACTTAACTTTTCTAGTTATAAAAGAAATGCAGGCACATTGTAGAAAAATTGGAAATGCAAAAGAAAGTAAAAAGAAGAAAAACACATAATCCTACCACACAGAGGCAATTCCTCCTAAAATTTTTCTATATTTTCTTCTGATTTTTCTTGTATGTGTATTTTAATATGTTTCAGGTATACTATTTATTCAGTTTTGGACGCTTCTTTTCCACTTGATATCAGAGCAAAAGCATTTTATAACATTATTAATAAATTTCCAGAAATCTAACTTCTAATGGCTGCTTTATATGACAGCATGAGAATGTGGCATAGATTTACCTAACCATTCCCCCAGTTCTGGACGTTGTGTCTAAATTTTCCTTGTGCAAATAATACTATATTCATATCATTGTGCAATCGCATTTTATATTAATTTCAGATTATTCCTTTTAGGAATGATTCCTAGAAATAGAATTAGTAGGTTACAGGGTTTAAACATTTTCAAAGGCTTTTGGCCACCAAAATCTTAACTTTAACATTTAGGTTTTGTCCAGCCCAGTTATCTGTCTTAGTACCTGAAGAGGGTTTTAATTCAGAACCTTATTCAATCAATCAACATATATTTATTGAGCACCTATTATGATCAGGCGTGGTTCTCAGTACTAGAGATACCAATGAACAAAACATACAAAAATCCCTCCCCTGGGAAGTACAAGATGAGCCTCAGACATCTTCTAATAAATACTAGAGCGTAAGGAAGTGCTTAAAAAAATGATGAGTGCATGTAGGGAGGACCCAAGAGACTGCTTGAAAGGGTTCCCACCAGCAAAATCTGGGATAATGTGAATATCAAATAATTAAGGAAAACAGTGAATTATAAACTATTGAAAAATTAGAAATTGATGAATCCATTGTAATAATAGGTAGATAAACAAACACACAAGGGAGAAGGGAAGGCTCTTGCTTATAGTAAAATGCCAAATTCTCACCAGTCAATGGACAGGGAGTGCTGAAGTGGGAAATTACCATTTTATTACTATCATAATAAAGATTGGCTTAGGCAAGAATCACCAATAGATTAAATCTAGGAGGTAATTTTCACAAGGAGCAAGAGATCTGCATGGCCTTAAGTGTCTCTCTAGAGACTGGTCACCATTTGCAAAGGAAAGAACAGTAACTATTCAGTGCAGAAATCGCACAACATCTCGACCAGATGATAAAGATTGATATCACCCATGAGGGGCAGAGGGATGGTGTGTGCTTTCAAATGTCATTCATTGAGAAGGACACATCAATGATGTATTCTGGTCGGGAATGCCTAACCTGAATATAACTATGAGGAAATATCAGACCAATCCCAAATGAGGAAAGTTCTATTGAAAGAGAGAGAGGGAGAGAGAGAAGCATTATAGTCTTCAAAAGTGTCAGTGTCATAAAATACAAAGAAAGGCTGAGCTGGGAAAAAAGTGCTGTAAAGAACAGTATTAGGTCAATTGACATCATTGGGTCAATTATCAGTTGGAATACCCTAAACACGTTAGATAAGAGTTAAATTCACTGAAGTTGATAACTGTGTTATGGTGATTTAGAATATCCCAATTCTTAGGAAATACACACTGAAGTAATTAGGGGTAACAGGCCATGATGTAGGCAACCTACTCTCAAATGTTCAGAAAAGTATTATGTAATTATATAGTATGGTTGTGCAATTAAAATAATCACATAAGTTTTATATATGAGAGGGAGTACATTATTATGCACATGAATAAAATGCCAGCAGTATGTCAATCTGGGGATAGGGCTTATGGGTGTCCTTTGTCCTATTCTTATGTTTGCCACTTTTCTGTGAGTAAAATTATTTCCATATCAAAAATTTTGATCTCATAGAGCCCACATTCATTAACATTACAGAAAGATTGGGGGAGAATCACTGAATCCACACACTGGAATGAAAACTGTGTTCAAACACTTCACTAAATGTTTGCTTAAGCATAACCAGCCTTCTTCCAGTGTTACCTTCCAGTACCCTCTCTCTAGGTTGGGGTGGGGTCCTTAACCAATGGGGTGTAGGTCCTCGGCCTGTGTTCCACTTCTTCATGGTTGTGCCCACAACGTCTCATCCCCCTATTGTTCTGCATGATGATATTTCCTATTTCAGGGCTATATTGGCCAGGTTCTAACCAGGACGGCGGAAACCTTCTGGATATTTAAAACAGAGGGAGCTTAATGTGGGGAATTGGTTACATGGGTGATGGAAATGTTAAGAAGACAAATGGGAGATCGAGGCGGCCCAGAGATTTGCAACAGCAGAAGGCCACTGCCGCCTCTGAGCTGGAGGGACAAAGGGGGAAGGCAGCATTGCTGGAGCCCGGGGGCCGGGGTCACCTGGAGACACAGGAACCGCCACAGGCCTAGCTGGCAGGAGCTGGCAGCTCAGACACAGCCCTTGCTAGAGGAAGTCCCTGCTTCTCCCTCCTCCAGCTCCAGTCTCCCACGACTGCCTCCCCGTGGCTGAGCCCAGGGCAGCCTGGGAAATGCAGCTGCAGGGTCAGCCCATCTCTCACCCTCTTAACACAGACACCTTGTGGGATATAGAGCAGAGCAGGAGGAGAATGAAGAATAGATCTTAGGGCAGCCACTCCTGTGCCCTCATTGCTATTTGCAGAAAGTTCTTGGCATTGGCATCCACAATGTTCAAAATCCCCTCTATGTATATTGTCTAGGGAGGCTTGGCCTCTCTCCTGTCCTTTTTGTAAATTTTTTGGTCTAGGTCCTTGGGCCTGTGACTCTGTCTCTATTCTGAGCCCTCTCTCTGTTGGCCATGAGTTCTCTCAAGCTGACCTGTGTCAGCCGTGGTTTCTGCAGCCAGGCAGATCCCTTTGAAGTCCTGCATAGTTTTCACATTAGCATTTATATTGTGGCTGCACCTTTGAGGGTGCTAACCATGCACTTCTCTTCCTCTCTGTGGTCTAGTTGCTGTTTCCCAAACACTATCTGTAATCATGTGAGCAGGATTTTGCACCCCTTTGGTGGGAAGAGTCTCTTTTTACTTGGGACCTGGCCTGAAAGCAGAGTTCCCCATTGGGTGGTGCTGTGGCCCATCCTGTGTCCCATTACTGAGAACAACCCTAGCATCACCGCTCAAGGATGCTGCTGCTTTTGTCATCTCAGGCCCAACGGCTTGTTAGCCTGTGCCTTTTCATGGTCTTTTGTCTAAGAGTGGAAACAATGGGATTTGACTTCCCATTTTTCCTGGAAAATTAATTTATTCTTTCCATGTCCATGCTAAAGATGGCCAGAAGATTGAAACAGGCACATATTGGAAATACCACTGGGGGAAGGGCAGGTACCCCTATCTCAGAGTGACTAAATGTCAGCGATCTAGATGTCCCCGATTCTCTCAGCCTGCAATCGCCTTGTCTTTAAAGATTTAAAGATCAACTCGAATTCCTATCTCACTTTTGCCAGAAATCAGCATCCCTCCCAACAAACCATACTATTCTCTGTGACTTTTAAGTTCCTCCCAGTCACCTCTGGCTTCAGTTTCCTGCTTCCGTTTGATTCTCAATCTCCATTCTACGTCCTCTATGCTGTTCCTTTTCCACATTGCGCGATCAGTGTCATTCTTAACATCATGCAGGTCCTTGACCTTGGAGGCCATGTGTTTCAAATGCCGTGTCCTCATTGTGGCCAGGGTGAGAAATGAAGACGTGTTGTGTTCAGGTTCATTTGTTTCGGGCTTTATCTGGGATTGCAGCCAGTACTGCTTACTCAAGCACATGCACTTCCCTAAAATTGCATGTTGACACAGGCATAGCAAACTTTTACTGAAATTTTGAGGGTATGGGGGCTGCTTTTAACTCAGTGTAGCACATGCAAGTGCATATGCATACATACTCACCCCAACTTAAAATTAAACGTTAAATATCCCTATTAAGTCCATTGGTCTTTCTTGTACCATGAACTTCTTACTGGCCAGTCTTCCGTATGAAGACATGATCTATCCCCATATTCTCCATTCGTTTCTTTTTTACATCTCTTTTTTCTTATTTCCTCCATTTTAGAGGATAGCCTCCAACCCAGCCACCCTCTCTTTATATCTTTAAGCCAAGCAATTCACTCCCCCCCACCCTGAGTGCTAGCCTTCCATAACCAGAATGGTTTGTCAGAATTTTCACTAAATAAAAGACGGCTCTCTCTCTCAGGTACCCCATAGCTGATGTGTTTGTAGAGATGGGATGGGAGTGGGGATCAGAGGGGAGAACACAGGAAGGGGGTTTGACAAATGTCCCTTGTGAAGGGGACAAAATAAACATGTTAAGCTTGAGAGTAATCTGGACAATTTTCTGCTCTCCCAAATATCTACCTCACAGTCTCTAACTCGGTGCTTTGTTCTTTCGGACTCTGAAAGTTTTTTGGTCTTCAATAATTCTCTATTAAAATGCAAATACCTACTGGGAGTTGTTAAGCCTTATCAGTTAATAGTTGACTGTTGCATGAGCATAGGATCCTGCTTTAATGGGGCCAGGATGGCAGAGGGATGGGGTGATATTGTGGAAGGACAAATAGATATAGGAAGAAGGGGAGAGAATATTTATTGAAGGGGTCATTTTGGGGTCTTTCTTATATTTTGACCAGAATGAACTCAGCTCACCATTTTCCATAGCCTTTTCCTTTGCCTTCTCAAGAGGAGACATTTTTAAATGGTTGGTTTATTTCCCCTTGACCTGAGACTAAGTTGAATTAAGGAGGGATGCTGGAGCTTCTTTCCTTTGTCATGCCTAAATTAGAAAGAGTAAAAGTAATCCAAGGAAATAGCTACAACAGAAGCCCCCTCCAGTT